TACTTTGGTGGTTAAAAAGGAATATGTCCAAGCAGCTAAGGCAACGGGAAAAAGAATTTTAAAGGGAAAGAAAATGGCATATTGCTTAGAGAGATAGTAGGAAGATAACGGATACAGTAGTTACTCTTCGAAAACACGCGCTATAAAAATTTAAATTTAAGTGGTATGACCTTGTTTTCACAAATTGTTCATGTAGTCAGGGTTGTCAGGGTGATAGTTGGACACACCTTACCTGAAGGTCTCCGCTATAGTAGTTATCACATTTCATTGGACTTTGGACAAGATGCATCAAAACTAGGTCACCGCTTCTACACATCTAAAGGGGGCTTCGATCAAATTTAGAGACAACAGCTCTGTTTATATATATATATATATATATATATATGTTTGATCAGCATTTAAGTATATCAAACCTTCTTGTATTTGAAGTAAACTTCAAATCAATTAAATTGTCTTTAAAGCTTAGAAAAGATATGCATAAAAGCCGAAAAAAGAAATACCTGCTAATCCCTTCTTGTTCTGCAATAACGCCAGTTATGTACACGTCTTCGAGCCACAAGATTCTCCGGCCAATTGCAGCTTTGTAAATAGCCTGAGCAGAACTGATCGTTAAAATATATCCAGGTGAACCACTAGCATAAAGCGGAAAAATATCAGCGGCATATTCTTCCGTATATGTTTTCCAAAGGTCGTTATCCCTCCGAAATACTTGAGCAAAGCGATTGAGGTCACCCACAAGATACTTTTCATGAAAGGGGTCCTTAGTCCGACGCGCTTCACACAGCACATAGTTGAGACTTTTTAAATTCCAGTAGCTGTCCTGATCGGATTTGATAAGGAAAGCTGGTCTTTGTTGAGGGCAGAGTAGTTGTGTGACCCACTGCAGAAGGAAGAGCACACGAATCGTCAGCAGTCCATAATTATCAGGTAGGGTCGTACCCAGTAGGAGCATGTCATTCCATATGAGCTGCTCGGCCATCAGCATATTGAATGTGGCCTCATCTTGCTTGGGGTAGGAAATCATGAAGATTGCTCGATTAACTCTGGGGATTTTTGCCTGATACTCTTCGCGAAGCCAAGTATACCTAATCTGTTCACGTTCTTTCCTATCTCCAAATCTAGATAGAATGATAATCAAAAAATCGCATTTCCTTTTGTTGTCAGTGTTCACCAAAGTACGGTTGCAGGTGGAAGTGACCGATTCTTCCGAAGACACTTGCAAAAAGTTACTAGGAGGAGAGAAAACAGGATTCATGGCTGGATATCCAGGTTGGAATATAAGGCGTAGAGGAGGGCGATTTCGGCAATCAATCCAATGCATAGAGTCATTCACAGATCGCCAAATAGGCAGGCGATTGTTACTGAAATCACTGTTATAGCATAAATGAACTGAGTTTATTTCCTTCGAAGATGCTCTTTGATAGAGCATTAGTGAAGTTTCTATTCGTGAAATAAGTTTTTTTATTGTGCATTTCAAACTAATTCCAGGTTTGTTTTCCCAGAATCTCATGCAGTCCTCACCAAAAAATAGTAGATACAATGGAGTAATAAGGAAAAATCCAAGCACAATCGATCGAAAGTAAAACTTATTCAGTTTCATGTCAGTAGTGAAGTTAGAGTAGGCGTATTAACAAAGCAAGTTTGAGGCTAGAGAAGAGTAGATTTGCTCGGCAGTAAGTGAATGGTACTTGACCAAATTAATTTTATAACGAAGCTAATTTACGACTGATTGGCTTAAATTCTATCCAATCACATTTACTATTGTCATGATATTAGAGCTGCAAACGTCTATCTTATTGGTTAGATAGCATAAACATAGTACAACAGTACAAAATTTGTGTTTATTTTTTGCAGGTCTTTTTTCTCTTCAAAAGGTATCGGTTTACATGGTATACTATCGCCTGATTGGCTGCCTGTCACCCTAACTACTTCGTCAGGTACATAACTTTAAACAAGGAATGACAACAAGCAAAGTTTACTCATCCTTATTCTGCGTTTCTCCCTCTTATTCAGCTCTATGAAGCCAACAGCTAAACTTTGCCGCATGGAGAAGCATACATTTGACCACGTTCACACAATATTTTGATGGAATAACTGTATAATGTTAGTTGCTTCGCCCATGCTGACTTTATGCATTATATCTTTGTATTTTCGTCTCGATTTATCCAAAAGCAATATCTGAGAAGAATGTTTGATCTACACAGCCCCTCCAGGATGATTTCTCACGAATTCTTTATGTCCTACTAAGCTTCTCATAGTTCCCCTCTCACATGGGCGTTAATGTTCTAGAATTATAGGTCCTTTGGGTTCTTTAGTCCTGTATAACATGCATTCATATCTGCCGAGCTCGGAGTGGTCGCTCAGCCTAAGGGGCATTTGGCTCGGGTGGCCAGCATGAGTGCAATCAGGCTGCAGCCCTAAGTATTCTCTCTGAATATAATGGTTCCTCTGAGTGAGCATGGGACAGTAATCAAATCGATATGTTGTCATCGTGTTAGGTTCTCCTATCATGATCTTTACCAAATTTTGCTATTGCACTTCCTCAAGGCCCTTTTGATTCTAGCTCTTCCAAGCATGGTACTCACACTTTGGGTCTGGATAGCCGGTTTACCTGTTTACGCTTCATCGATAGATTAACTTGTCGTCTGCACGCGATGTGTCTTTGGCAGACATAAAAACAATAGGTAGGATGGTGAGCGCGAATCTGGTCCATTTTCGCCACATTGAGGCATCAATACGTAGACTCCAGACTGTGCTTAGTCTGTCTGCTAGCTTCTCTAAATAATCGATTTTATACTGCCAACCTTAAACTATAGCCACAGATATCTAGTGAATGTTTAATATGGACATCTTTACTGGCCTACAGCCTTCTAGCCTAACAAAGTAACATAATTAAGCTGCATCGTTTAGCTTATGAAGTTTCAGGCTGTAATAGTGGAATTGCCAAGGCCAACAGTAAGGTCAGCTTGTTTTTGTCCTTGTTTGTTATTCCAGAAGATGCGTATTATCTCTGGAATAAATCTAGTTTGGAATAAGTCATGAAATGAATGGCATAACAAACGCATTTGAAGGTCTCTCGAACAGATAATTGTGAAACAAAATGCATTGGCCCAACCCCTTCTTGTTGCGCTCCAAATCAATTTACTAAGAAGGTGCACTAGTCCATGTAAGCACCCTCTGCTAGCAAATGTAATATTAAATATTTTACGATAGCCAATTTATCTACCAGAATGCTTCTAGGTCGGCCACAAATCTTGATTCAGCAAATGCACAGAACTCCGTCGCAATTCGTGACTTCTCAACGAAATCCGATAAATACTAATTGCCGTTGCGCTACCGACTTGTAATTTTGCACAGTTTCTGCTCTGTGTAGACTCCTTAATTCAGATCTTATCTTTTCCGTGGTCTTCTTTGTTGCCTTTGGGACTCAGTCATTTTTACATTTCTGGGCACACAATTCTTGTAAGTGGGTTGACCTCGTTGTCGCAACTTGGTCTTGTTGTCAGGGGGACTATGTAGAACGCACCTAGTT